GCATTTGTGAGAATGAAGTTATAGTCAGCTTGTACTAATGCAATTGTTGTAATTTTGCTGGAATAATTTTGATTTTATTAAATGTTAAAAGACCTGCATCTGCAGACCACTTTTTTGCACACCAGATTTTCTCAAAAAAGGGCGAAATCCAAAATGCCATATCTCCCAAACGGTTAAAAATATATCATTAGTCCCAAAAATCTTTCCGCTAACCTGTCCGGTAAACTAATTTTTTTACTATTGATTAGAAAACTTGAATTTTACACAGATTCAAAAGCACATTTTCTGAACTTATTTCAAATGATTTGTGCAGCAAGGTGCTGACTCTTAATACTTTATCAACTATTTCAAATTAAATTTGTTGATAATTTGAATCGTATTTCAAGAGAAATCCTTTTTGATTCATCGGATTATGTTAAAGGTAAAGTCTCGTCTGTTTTGCTGAATTTTTTATTAACATTGAACAACCTTCTAAAGCTCTTTTAAAAATCATATATTTAACTAGTTAATCTGTAGGTTTAAGTCGATTAGAAGCTGACTAGAAACTGAACAAAGCTGTGTCTCGTATCTGAAAGTAATTGAAACTGCTCTGTCTGTGAAGCTTTCCCATTATACAGAAACTGTCGGACTTTAATTTGCTAAACAGGTACAGATAGAGTGTTAAATTTACTGTGCATTTGAAGCAAAGTTGATGATCACATTTGTAATCTTCTGTATAAGAAGCGCCAATATCCTACGCATTATCTTTTATTAAAAAAGTGTTAGTTTGGCTAAACACGCTTTAGTGTGTGACATCCAGTTTCTCCTTAGACTTTAGACATACTTTGCAGAGGCTCTGATAATGTGCAAAATTTATCAAATATCATGCCTAATTTAGAAAAGTGTTGCAAAGTGAATGTACTAAACCCAGACACGCCCTAATATAAAACGCAGTTTTAAACAAAAAGCGAAAAAGGAAGTCGCTTACATGTTTTTACGCAGCTTTGCAAAAGCATTCACAATATTCAAAAGCTCATTTTGACATACAGACCAAATAGCCGGGGAAAGGATGTCAGATTCATATCTCTGACTGACTTGTATATATACTTTTGCAGCGGAAAAAAACGAGAGAAAGAAAGCCCCCATTTAGAACAGAGGGATTCGGATACTCGGTATGTCTACGCTTCTTTGAGTGGAAGATGAGGGACTGAATCGAGATGTTAGCTCGAGATATGCCAGGGCAGGGTTTTACTAAAGGCCACTTGCATTTTCAACAGGCAGCTCGTAAAAATTAGCATGGCAAAAGAAAGCGCGAATAATTAGAGATGTAGCGAAATGAAATGCGAAATTTGCACTTTTGGCCTAGGTTTGGACAGCTTATCAATTAATTGCTGCTTCGTCAGGTAACGGATAAGAGTTTTTATTTGATGATAATTTTTCTTCCTTTGTCTCTCAAAAATTTTACAAGTCTACTTCGCGCACAAGAACTTGAGACAGGATTAGTTCTTTAAAGAGAAACACAATAAAAGTTAATTTTGCTCCAACATATAAAAATAATCTGTAAGTTAAGCCAGTGACAAACTAAATAGTTAATAAAAAAAACCGTCCCGATTTCTTTTTCTTTGAAAAGTAAATTACGTGCATATTCTGTCGATAATTGTAGTAAAATTGATAGGTGATTACATGTTCTATATAAAATAAAACAAAAATAACATTTGTCACTGGTGAGCGCTATATAAAAATAAAAATGGAATAATCAAATACAGTGGAAGGAATTAAGTTATCTTCTTAAAACAACATAACAAAAAAGAGTGCTTGAGAACAAAATAAATAATTAGGAAGCAGTGAACAAAAAATATCTTTCCAAATGTAAAAAATTAGCTATTACACCAAAACGGCGTTTACGAAGAGAGATATAAAATTCCACGAAAAACACATCATTTTCGAAAAGCTATTTCATGTTTCAAGAAAAACTTGGGTGTACTAAAACGGAAAGAAAACTTTTCTGACTAATAAAACCGTTCTAATTAGGCCTGGGTAACACTGTGTTAACGAGTTCTAACTCATCGGTTAATGAGTTATAATTCATTTGTTAAAGCGTTACGATACCCGAGACTGGAATTTTCAAATGTAAAAAAGGGGTATTAACATTTTTTCTGCGTAACGTTTTTTTACTTTGTTCAAACAATTAAAAAAAAAATAATCTGGATCTTCCCAGCAACAGAACTGAGTCCAAAGAAGGTCGACGAGTTTTTTGTAAAATCAATCTCTCCATTTTTTTGCATAAGATTCAATTTGCCAGTATTTTACAGTAAAACGTTAGGGAAAACGCTTTTTCTGTTTAGAGACAGTGTTGTTTAGAAATATTGACCTAAAAGTGAACAAACTCAAGTTTCCAAGAGTTTTCCAAATAAATGATTATAAACCCGCTTTTTCAGTTCGGAGAATACTTTTGCAAAAAGACCCAGAAATAATTATTAGGATTTTGTCCATAATTCGAAGCTGCAAAAAAGTTTTCAAACATTCTTGAAACCGGTTAAGGAGGCGAGTGTTCCAATAAAATTAATCTTATAATTTTTCACAGAAAATACCTAAAGATTGCAAGTATTTTAAGTAAAACTAAAAACTAATGCGATTTTTGCGGAGAAAGAATTGCTTAATAGAAACTGTTAAAACTGGAATTAAAATGAAAATGAAAATTTAAAGAAACTTTAGAAATCTTCAGAGCGATGAGAGCGGCGAATTTTCGAAATAATTTTAAAGATAGTCCTAATTACTTTCGGTAAAAAACTGAATCAAATTATTTGGTTTTTGTGCCAAATTCGAAGCTGAAATGGGTTGAATTTTATAGCAAAATTAATTTTGTAATTTTTCAAAAAGTCTTGTCAAAACAGAAGAAAATCATAGTGCTTTTTTGCGTTTCCGATTAAAAACTATTAGTTTTGTGATCGGTTTCGGAGAAAACCTTAATGGTCTTTGTGAAAAAACGGTGGGAGTTTACTTTTGTTTTTGTCTCAAATTCGACAATGGAAAAAGTTTTTGTAAATTTTTACAAAGCTATGAATTTATCTTGCAAATTTTTCGCGTAGTCGCAAGTCCTCCAGATCGTCAACATTTTTAAGTAAAACTCTACAAAATAGAGCAAAAAATTCAGTCAAAACTAAAAAACCACATTTTTTAACAAATTCTACAGTCATTCAAATCATACTTTCAGAGGAATGGAGGTGACGAGATTTCCAAATAATCTGTTATATACTTTCGCTTATTCTATTCGTTTTTATGATAGAAAATTGTTTAATTTTTGTTCCAAATTCGAAGCTGGAAAAGGTTTTCAAAACTATTTACAAAGCGACGAAGGATTCGAAATTTATTTCATAATTTTTCGGAAAATACCTTAAGATCGTCAGTATTTTTAAGTGAAACTTTAGAAAATTGAGCATTTAGGTGAAAGAGTTTTGGCTAAAATTGAAAAATTCTGAAAGTTGAAGACATTTTAAAAATATTATTATTAAATGGCCTTTAAAATCAATCTAAAAGAAAGTCATTTTTCCATCAACGGAACTGAGCTACTGCGCCGGTGCGTTGGGTTGGCGCACCAAGCCATTTGCGCAGCACTGCGCGAACTCCTAAAAATTCATTGAGTTACCCAGGCCTAGTTATAGTTAATATCGGTTTCACAAATATTTGCGAAAACAAATGGATTTTAAAGTATAGAAGTGATCCACCACATTTGAACAAATGATTATCATGGTTTTGGACGGTGAGATAATAAAACGCGCAAAGAAATTATGTTTTTGAAGACACTAAATTTGATGCGAGAATCAAGCGGAAACGAAAGGAAAGTACGTTTTCACGGAAAGTCACTAAGTTTGCGACAAAACATCCAGAGAAAACGTGTTGATTTTCCTACCAAGGAAAGTTGAAAACAAAAATTAAATCTATATTTTGCTTTATATTCGCTCCACATAGCCATACGAATAATCGGCACATTTTTTGCTGCAGTGCAAAATTCCTTTCGGGCAATGTCAGGTCAGTTTGGGTTAGACCTCGAGAACAGACAGGATGTATTCGATCAAAAAGCCGCAAATTTTCGTGAGGGTTAATCAACTAGGTCGGTAATAAATAAGACGTTTCGGTACGAGTTTTAGAAAGATCAGATCTGAGGATTCATCAGCGAAATTGGAAACCTCAAACTCACAATTCATATTTTAAAGAAGCAAATGCCCAGATAACTGAGCAAAAACTTGCTGGAAAGCGATCAACAACCAATTTACTTAAAATAAAATAAGTTATTCTTCATTATTGTATATACTTTCCTGACTGTGTTTCAATTCCAAATCAAAATCAATTCCTGGGCTTCAGTCATTTATTGTCTATTTATCAATTAAAATACGTTTCGGTGTTTTCCACCATCATCAGTTTCTCTAAAATAACAGATAGTAAAAAAAATGTTTTCATTAATTTAAAAAACAATCACAGTTTGTCAACAGCTTCATCATATCACATTAAAATACATCACAATTGCAACACTTTAAAACATTCTAAGATTAATTAGGCCTAACAGGTGATTAGGTTAATTTAGAGAAACTGATGATGGTGGAAAACACCGAAACGTATTTTAATTGATAAATAGACAATAAATGACTGAAGCCCAGGAATTGATTTTGATTTGGAATTCTTCATTATACCATACTGTTCCTGTTGGGCAAATACAGCTCAGTAAAAAAACGCTTAACTTTGGGAAAATCCGCGTTGAATTTCACCAACCCTAAACTATAAGCGAGGGCATGCTAAAACGAAACCATGTATTATTTCCGCATGATCGTATGTCTCTAATCTAAACATTTCAAAGGTGAGTCTGAAATGGTAGGTACAAGACAGGTTTTGTAACTCATCCTTTGTGTAAAGCTGCCATGGCATGCTTTGTGCCGGTTCAGCATATTCATAACGCGATCTAATTATAATCGAACATAATGCAGAAAGGAATGTTTTCCCCAATTTTTTTCGGCTTTTAAACTCACCTGGGACCATTGTTGTTGTTAGCCGCTGGCATGGGTGTTGGAACCCGTGGAGGCGCCACTGGTATTGGTGTGGCTCTCCTTTTCATTGGATGAAACTGCCGATGTGCCCCATCCATTTTTTAGCTGTAAAAAAAAGTTTCGTTATATGCACGCTGAACTTAAGTCCTTAAGCATTAAAACTCGTTTTCGGCAATATATCAGTTTTAATATGAGCTCCATGCTCTTTCGCTAAGTCCCCAAACTAAAAGAAATTTAATTAAGTTTCATTTCCTGTGCAAACCGCCTCTGCTGTATTTTTCTCGACCGTATCCGTCCATTCACCAGAAGACTGCATTGTAACTATTCCTGTAACTGGTTGCCGCTATCATATTTTATATTTAACTCTAAATACATACATAGTTCTTTGATAATGCCACCCAAGCGTGCCATTATTAATAAAGTACGACCAGACAATGTTGATAGGTTTTTACGTTCTGTGAAACCGTTTAAAGCGACTTTTTCAAAAGAAATTGTCTCGAGTGGGTACGCTTAGGTTTTTGAAATTCAAATCATTCTTTGTTCAGGATCTGGATCTTTTACTTTCACGATTGGTCTTATTGTGTTTGAACTCAAGTGAAGGTGCGAGGTTTGAGTCAAAGTAATTGCGTCCAATATAAAAATAGCTAATTAGTAATTTGTAAAGCTGGACTTTATTATTTACGCTTTATGGTAAATTGCATCGTTTTGTTGATGAATTGAACTCCTTTCAGAACTGATTTATCGCCATGAATAAAACACATAAATATTAAGCAACCATGAAGCTAAACAAGCGCGTTGCGCATTTATTTTCGTCCACAGAGTGTTCCCAAATTTAGGTAAAAAACACTCTAGGTTTCACCCCGTATAATGACAAACCACTTTTCACAAAATTCATTTCGATTAATGGTGGGAATCAAAAAGCCCACAATAGCATGAAAAAAAATCTAAATCTATTGAAAACTGTGAAAGCTGGATAAGATTTAAATTAAATAATTTTATCGTGTCCGGGTTTTTTGCCAGGGGTGTAGAAACTTTTATAGATGCGGGTTTTAATAATTTCATTAAGTGGATCAACGAAACAAGACTATGTAAAAACGTTTGTTCTTCCTCAGTTCTCCAACTGATTTCTTATGAAAACAACCCGAAGTTCTTTGCATGTATTCTGGCTGAACCCTTAATGACGGACGAGGAAGAAAGCCTAGAGCCTATTTTTCCTTTTCACGTTGCACAATTTTATGTTAGCTTGGAGCTTTGCTGTGGAATATACCCATTTTTCTCTTTGTTATTTTTCATTATTTGCATGTCGTTTGCACCCATCTAAATTAATTTCACAATTCTCAAGGATTTTAAATATGGCTCAAAAGATATTGTCTCACTATTTACGCTCTGGTTTCTTTGATATGGACATGTTTGAAAATTGTAGTAATTTGCCTCAATTCTCCATAAACTCCATCCATAAGTTCTGAGATTCAATTATACTTAAGCACTAATAAGCCACTTCTCCATCTGGATTCCCCATTAAACTTGTGTATCATAATTATACAAATCGAGTCTGCTAAGCTCGAAAACAACCCTGAGAACTGTAAAAAATTTACCATTTTTTCAAAAAAAATTGTGCCATGCTCTTCTAATTAGTAATATCACGCAAAACACCTAGTGATTTACTTTCAGTAGCTCAATTAAACCTGATATGAAGTTATTGGCCTAGATAAGCTTAGTGCAGTTGCACACATAAAATGTTCACTAACAGCGTCTCTTTAAGCCATTCATTTATTTTAACTATTTTTATCTTTGTATAAAGTCCTTCAAGGGTGGAGCAGCTTTGGGCGATATCTCTCTGATCTTTATGACAGGGCTCTTTACTTAAATGGGGCAAAAAATAGTCGCAGATCATCTGCAAGCAAAGCCCTGCGGCTAACGGCGAATTAACTTACCGGCTTTGGTCCGAACTTTGTCAGGCTTTAAAAGCCGCTACCATTATTATTATAATTTTTAATATAATATAGCTACTTACAACAGTTCACTGTGTGAATAGACAACAAAATTCCATTTTAACCCTGTTGTTTATACAAAGCATTCGTCCATGAAGCAACCGTTTAAACCCTATTGTGTTGCATGCTTTTGTAGGGCTGGGGCCTAAAACTCCATTTAAGGGCCATATTTAACTACGCTTTTGTTTACCGTTAGCTGCCCTAATGCCATTACTTAAAAAATGTTAAACACTGGGCGTGAAATAAATACGAATTTGCTGGCTAATCGTTATGGAATTGAACCTAACTAATAAAACTGCCAAGCAATGGGAATAAATTAATTACTATTAGAAAGGAAGTTCGTAAATCACTTTATTTTATTGGTTCCGAATAAAAACTAATAAATTCCAAGTGTCGACAAGTCACGTTTTACAATGCCGTTCTTTGCTACATCAGCTTCTTTTTTGAAATGGTGCTTAGGAAATAACAATGACTTTATGTCCCTTTCATTAAACTGGGATTAGCTTTGTTTATATTACTTCCCCATTAAAACAAGCTTAGCTACTGGATTTATTAACTCTTAAGGTTCCAAGCAACAAAGGAAAATTCAAGTAAGTGAAGCAAGTGAATACTGAGCAATATTTGGTCCTAACTGGGGAGCAATGCCGAATCCACGGGGGGGAGGGGCTATGGGGTGCAGCTCCCCCCAGACACAGTACAGTCCTTTCTATTTCATCATAACGACCCAAAAATCTGAATTCACTTTAATAATAACCTAATAAAATTTTATGATTATGTACATTTATAAACTAATTATTTCAAAAACACTTTAAATACGTCCAGAAGAACTTGAAGGTTACGATACGTCGATCTAATGGAATAAGTTTTTTATGAAGAAGCTTGAAGAAGTGTTCACTTAAATGATTGAATACAGATCAATTGGAAGAGGTGGAGCAAAATAGGCCAGCTCGATCACCTGACTCTAAACAATCGGGAGTTTTAACTAGAAACAATCAGTATTTTTTAAAGCGACTCTAGTTGGGCTTAAAGATCCACTTTTAAGTAAAAACCACGGAAAACTTAAACATTTTTAGCCTCAAATCTCTCGATAAATATAATCGCTGCAGGAATTTCTGCTGGTTCCGATTTGTGCTGCCCCGCCGAATAGAAGCCGAAGTTTATTTGGAATTTGTCCGAAACAGATGATTCATGGCCATAAAAGGGCTCCGCGTTATTTCAGCCCAATATTACATAAAACGAGTAAACACAGATCAACTGGAATAGGTGGAGCAAAAATAGGCCACTTCGATCACCTGATCTAAACAATCGGAACTTTTAACTAGTGAGCAGAAGCAAAGGGCGGAGATCACAGCTTATATATCATGAGATTTAAGCTGTGGCGGAGATCATTATAACCCAAGGATTCCGTCCCTGAATGTTTCCTAGTTACAATTTATAGTGCCACGACTGTTAAAAGCTGAATTCTGAAGCTATTTGATCGTGACGACTCAAAAGTGTGAATTCACTTTAATAATAACTCAATAACATTTTATAATTCTATAAATTTATGAACGAAATATTTCAAAATCACGTCAATTCCATCCAAAAGAGCTTGAAGGTTACGATACTTCGATACAACGATGTAAATTGTTTGTGACCTCAGCCCCCTTCAGATCAAGATCTTGGATTCGCCACTGCTGGGGAGACAAAATTAAACTTGACTATCCCAAGATGAAGCCCTACAACATTAAACATTGATAATCTAGTTGTGGGAAAAACCATAGTTGAAAAGCTCTAAGCAAAAGTTGTGCAGGACACCAAATGAAAAAACCTGCAAAAACAGAGACGCAAAAAAACGTTGTTTCTACTAAAATTGAATAATCACAGAGAAACCAGTTGATTCTCCAATCTGATTGCAATGCCACTTTCCATTTATCGAATTTTAAATGTTAATTTTTTTTATTACTTGATTTTGATCCAAACAATCTATGTTTTGTTCTGAGTGTTTCAGAGAATTAACTGTGCAGCTACTGAGTTTAAATTAGTAAAAAATAGTTACTTAAGTCCAACTAAATGCACCTTCGTTCAAATAATGTTCCTTTTAACATCTGCAGAAGATCATCTCAGTTTTCGGAAATGAACAAACACAGACAAACTATTAAAATAAATTTAAAAAATTGACTGAATAGAACTAGCATTTAACTTCATAAACATACGACAAACGTATGAAACATTTAATAGTTAATGTGTTTTATTTGGCTACGCCTGCAGAATCGTAAGCTTAAATTTTAAAAAGTTTTAAAGACTTTAATGGCATCATTATATTTACTGATTCTTCCAGAAATGCTTAAGCGCCCAGCCGCTTCAGTTTATAGTTCAGATTGCACATTAAATAAACGTTCATTATCATTATACATTCGCAATTTCGCAACTTCACAAGAAAATCAGTTTACTTTCCAACTTAATTAACATTTTAAATATTTATAGGCCGACGTTAAGTAATACCTGAAGTCCTCTGAGCTTTCGAGCTTCTGCCTGCTTTATTAAAGGAACAACTATGATTTTCTGCTAACCTTCAAACGACTACTTTGAGATGAAAAGAAGAAAGAAGATTCATATGAGCCTGCTTTGACAACATAATCATACTGAAACAAGTTTTTTTAATTCTTGACTTAATTTTGAAATTACATTTACATTTCCGGTCTGCTCCATGGTCCATTGCAAAGAGTGGTCGGAATATAGAACTGTAGGATCATGTTGTTTTTCACATTAATGAACCTTCCGATTTTTGAGAAAAAATGTAATTATCTATTTCCTTGCAGAAATAATCTCTGAAATTTGCTTATTATGTAAAAATCTTCAAAAAAACATATTTTCAAAGAAAAGTAAGATTGTTTGAAATAGGCAAGTGCAGATTTCGAAATGCGCTAACCTCAGGCACCCCCATGACCGGCTTCGAGCCTATTAGCACTCATCAGCTGTGTTCTGAAGGGTCCAAACCGGTCCTGGGGGTGCCTGAGGTAAGCGCATTTCGAAATCTGCACTTGCCTACTTCAAAAGTATAAGTTTATTTCATTTAATTCAAATTCTTTAAAGAACTTGAAGCCCTGAACAGGTTTCTAACTGCTATAAAGT